GGTTAAAAAATTTAAATGTTGCTGATGACAACAAGGAATTATTAGTTTGTTCATTGCATTTTACTGCAAAGAACTATTATTTTGACTATTATTTTTTACCGATTGCAATATAGTAATACAGCTACTATATGTTTGCAACTATGACTTGTTCCAGCCTTGCATGAACAATTCATTTTTTCTATATTAATTTTACTTTCTTCGTAATTGTTATTGTTTATTGAAGATATTATTAAACTTCCTGTTATTACATGCGGTTCCGACGTTAAGGCACTTGTTTGCAGACACAATGAATATAAATCTATTTTATATTTCGTTTTTACCGTCGCGCCGCACATTATTATCATACCAGAATTAATAACATTCTGACCTTCGATCATGTTTCTTGATGAGAGTGATGCATGGGTATACTCACACAAAGTGTCCAAACGAAGTGTCAACATTTTTCATGTAAAATCAACAATAATTTTTAATTTTTTTACATAATTACCTATATAAAGCTAATGCTAATACTGTCGACGCGGTGGCCATATTTGTTATGCTACGTTAGCGCCCCTCTTTCCGCGGTGGATGTTTTCTTTCCCGATACATAGAATGGTCTATTTAACACTGTTTATACATAGAGGATTTTATAATTTTGCATTTTTTATAGTATGTATATCATTAAATAAACTAATGTGAGCTTAATATTTCTTTTCTATTTGATATTTATGTGTTAAATTTATCAGCTAAATTCATTGCAGAACAAGTGTCGTGATTGCTAACTTAAGGCTCCTGGGTACTTGCCGCAGCCATATTGGAATCGTGATATCAGAAGCGAGAATGACATTCTGAGAATTCTTGCGTGCCATTTTTAAATAAAAAGATATTTTGATGAAACAACACTATAGATTGCTTTAGTACACTTGTAAAATTGTCCGAAAACTATACTATGCTTTTCCCTTGACAGTTAATAAACAGCCGTAAAATGAGTGATATGAAACATATATGCTTTTAGCATAGTTCTCGGACAATTTTACAAGTGTGCTAAAGCGATTTGTAATGTTGTTTCATCAGAATATCTTTTTATTTAAAAATGGCATGCAAGAATTCTCAGCGTATCATTCTCGTTTTTGACGTCACGATTCCAATATGGCCGCGACGAGTACTCAGGAGCCTTAAAAGTTGAATATTTCATCAGGAATTATCAATTTTGGAATATTAATATTTTTTTAAATCAAAATTTGTAGCCATTCTGTAGAATTCTACCATTAAAAATTGTTAACAATTCATTATCATTTGTAATTAATCAATAAATTCAAAAAATGAAGTTAGTCTTTTATAAAATTATCCATTCACAGCGAAACTATTGCCACTATATGGCATGCACTTCGAAATCGTAAAACATTCTAACTTCAATTTTTTTCTATTGTTTAAAATAGTAGAGATATTTTGGGTGGACAGAGTTAGAAAATTACCATGTATACCATAATTCAAAATTAACATTAATTATACATTATAAAAACATAAAAATTTGAATTAAAAATAATTTCATCATTATTTAATAATTGACATTATTTATGAAGTAATCCACCCAAATTTTCAAAGTTTTCCGATTGCCCTCGGTCCTAAAACCGACTGTATCTTGGGAACTAAAAGTTTGCCCATTTTGATCCTGCGCTCGTGTTAAAGGGAAAGATTTCTACTTTTTTTTAAGATTTTTCAAAAAAAATTGGAGATGTCCAAATTTAAGAAAAAACGATTTTTATTTTGTTCTTCGAAAATCTTAAATGAATTTTGACTTAAAAAAAAACTGATTTTATAAAACTAAAAGGCGTAAAAAGACCTTTCGAAACTACTACCTATTTTTTAAAAATCGGAGTAGTCTACTGGAACTTATCGGCGTTTGAAGTTGGACGCGATAGCCCAAATGATAAAAATTCAAGCCCCTGTTAATAGAGAGTCCGTTGGTCGCGGGCCAAAAAATTTGGGCAACGATTTTACTTTTGATAGGACTACAATTTGTGCAAATTTTATCATGATCGGAGAACTTTGAAAATTTGGGTGGATTACTTCATAAATAATGCCCCATTTGTATTATGTAAATATAAACAGTAATAAAGAAAAGTCACAGAACATTTTTAATGTTAACCAAAAATAATTTTATATTATTTTTAATATTACGGTAAAAGAATATAAAAGCAAACTGATGAATATTCAATATTAGAACATGTATCTTTTGTTTGTATATTATTATATAAAACTTGTACATGTGAAAGAAAATAATAAACAAATGTTAAATAAATATACATTAAAAAATATATAATATAAGAATAATTAATAAACGGACATCTGTTAACTGTAAATCCTAACAGTTTAGCATATTTTAAAATCAATTTTAATAAAAACAATTTATTTATCAACCAAGTAATCTCTATCGTTGTATATTTCTACACTGATACATAATACATAAACATTATTAACAGTGTTGCCTTTATTAGAGAGGGCACTCTATTTAACTTTACATATGTTTCAAGTCATTTATCAAAGATTGAACCGAACATTTTATGACTCAATATACACTCACTCATTTACGTATATATGTACGTACATATATATCTGTACGCTAATAGAAAGACCACAAGTTAAACGGACTACGAGGAATGTAATCTACAATAGATCAAAGACATCGAACTAATGAGACAAACTGTTTGTTTGTATTATAAAATCAATTTTACTATATTTTTGTCGATTACATGTTTCACATTTTCAAAATTGCCTCTTTTTCATTTCGAAGTACTTTGAAGTATTGTGCTGCATAATCTCATTTGTACCATGATAATTGACTAAAAATTTCCCGACAGCGGATTCATGTTTAAATTCGATTCAAGATTGTGCACATTATCTCATACATCCGTCCGATTGCGAAATACCTTCCTGGGTTCATGACCGCAAACGAGATACCCGCTGCCGAAGACATAAACACACATTCCAGGATTTGTTATTAGTTATTCCCCAAGTCGCGTGCCTATTGATAAAATTCATAACTTTTACCTGCAGCCGAGATCAATTATATTAAGATTTGTTCTTACGTCCGAAAGAGCACTCTCATAAGTGCATCGCCCCAGTAAGATAATTTTGTACCGAACATCCGTACAATCTTTATATTGTCAAGTTACTAAATATTTTATTGTTATTTTCCATGTTAACCATATTCTATAAACTAACACTTGCTCTGTCATCATGTAACCGTTATTCCATTCTTGAGCGAACTTGTGTCCTTCTTTTCAATAAGAAACAGTTGAGCTATTGGGGCATTTCACTTTCTGACATTAGAAGTATTTGTATAGCATGTTTCCTATTCGTGTCTGACACTTAACAATTCTCACAATTATTGATATTTTGAAATTCTTCGAAAGGAATTCGAAGAATGTGCCAAAGATGTGTCCTACATTCGCTGATTCGGCATCGTACGAGGAAAATACGTCACAAGTCGGAGCGGAAAACATAGTATGAAAAGAAGGTGATTCTTCACAAAAATAAATTGAGAGAGAGAGAGAGAAAGAGAACAGAATAGAATAAAATTTCCAGAAATTAGTCTGATATCCGGATACACGCCTTAATACTAGAAACATTCAGATACACTTACGGAATACCAAACATACTTGAGTACTTGGGTAATATTCAAATATCCGAATGTTTTAGATATTATTAAGCTTAGAACGATAAAAATAAATAAAAGAGTAACTTTTTGTGTAATATACGAATTCTCCAGTAATATGTTCATTTATAAATACGGCTCTTAAGAATAACTTTGGACAAGTTTTTTAAAATGAATCTTACGAATGCTTACACTGAAAAAAGATGTACTAAATCCCCAAAAAATTATTTTTTATTTAAAAAAATTATTTATTTAAATACTTGCAAAGGAATTAGTTATTTCAATTAAGCAGCAAATATATTTAAATTAGTAAAATATAAAATAAAATATAAAATAAAAACAAAGTATGTTTTATTTGCAAGTAAAAAAAAATTGATTTTTATCTTTATTATACTAAATGACTTTTTTTAAAAAAACATTTTTAAATTTTTAACTGCTTGTTTCAAAAACACAGGTTTTCTTTATTTTAATAAATAATTTTTTATCTTCAAATAAGTATTTGTTTATATTAAAATTTTAAATAATATATTTTAAAAATTATAATTCTTATTATATGCAACTAATAATTTATTTAATATAAGAAAATATCTCTGGAAACATTTCAAATAATGTATTTTAAAAATTATAATTTTTATTACATGCAAATAATTATTTATTTAATATAATAAAACATTTTTGGAAACAAGTATATATTTATTTGAGTAAAAAAAATCAAAATTGACAAAATGTATTTATTTAATTGAAAAATATTTTATTTTTAATGTATGCATATATTGTTTCTCGCACACGATTATGGATTTTGCAAAGCGTACGTATACATGTTCTTCGCGGCGAAATTTAATAAGGACGCACGAAGCGGAGATATTACGATACACAACTGTCAAGAACTCAAAATTCTCATGTCATATTGTTAAGTTCAAAAGCCGTACGTATCTGTGCCGAGCCGTGCTATTTGTAACAATAATGCGCGATAAGGATGCATGACTTTATCAAGAAATCAATATTGAAGCGAAAACCCAGAAATGACTCATACGCATATAATATGTATGCATATATGTGTTCAATGTTCCGATAAATACAAATCGCGCATATATCGCAATGTTTGCATGCAAGCGTTATCTTGCGAAGAAATCTCAAGTATTTTTCAATTTTCCCCTCTATCGTAAAAGATTTCTCCGATAGAGTCGGAAATGAAGAAATACTATTTACTTCGTTCTTTCAAAGTTCGTTTTCTCGCTTCAAAAGAAGCGAGAAGATCCAATCCTTTCTCTGTATTTCACTTTTTCGTGATTATTGTACATATGTACATACACACATATACATATATGCGAACGCGCCTGTTTATCCAGGAATTTAAAATTTTAATATTCTGAGATTCCTTTGTATTTTCTTGAAAAAACGACAATACAAATTTTGTATTATCACGAAAGAAATTATATGTTAAACATATGCTTTTTCACATACACACACAATAATTTTTCAAGAATATGTCTTATTTACATCATTTATATATATATTTCGAGCTTGCCAGATTTTATGTAATATGTATTATATGTATATTATATAAAGCTATTATATATTATTCAACCGAAAACATCGTGCTAGTAGAAGTGTATAAGCGGAGAGTACACGACACATATGTAACGGTTACATATAGATATATATTATTCAACGACAACGTTAAACCAACGTTAACCATGATAGTAAGGACAGTATTCTTGGTCCGATGGCGAGGACATTTGAGGATACGTGTCGACCTTACACGGATCTTCTTACGTGCTGATTTCAGTTCATATCACGTTTTACATATATGTTACATCAACTGACCTATAGGCAAATTTTATAGAAGTCTAATTAGCCATAAAGAAAAAGAAAGAGAAGAAGAAGAAATTTTATGTATGTACACCCCCACCTCCGCGTTAATCTTGTGTTTCAGACTTAAATTTTGCACTAAAATCTCGCTACGTTAAGTGTAACACTTTTTTTACTGGTAAAAAATCATTAAGCAAAAATTTTTTCGTTGTTATGGGCATACAATTTTTTCTGTAAAAAGAAAAAAAATCTAGCGTACAAATTTACCCTTTCCTTGTTCGTCTCCCGGGCAACAATTCAACAATTTCTCTAAATATAAACAATTTCTTTAAATTTATTAATAGAAAGTTTCAGTCATCCGTGATTGCTCGCATCCGCGCGAGCTCCGAGTCTCTGCCGGATGTCTCCTCCGTCACTGCTTTCGCTCTCATTTACGCTCATGACTAACTCCTTTCTCTTCTTTCCCCTTCCTCGACCTGTGATGGTAAGTGATTCTCTCGCAGACCGCTCTCGAATGCCTGAAGCAATATACATACTTGGAAGTAAGAGTAACATAAACGCCACGTACGCATCAATCAAAAATATCTGATACCAGGATACCGATGTATCCGAGAACGCACCTGTAGCACTCTTTTAAAGAGACAGGTACAGCCGACATCTATCTCTTTCTCACCACGTGATGATCCATTTTTTAGCTGCTCCCTCTCCTTCTCGTCACCGAAGACGCTGACAATTGTTTCGCACGTAAGGTACTTTCACGAGAAACGGTGTTAAATATATTTCGAATCCCACTGGTTCCGGCCCCTTCACGGCATTGTTCCGAATATATGAGTACGTGCTATTAATACGATGACTGTGGCTATTTTTAATCTGGCGAACGTCATTGCTTCGCTATGAGATGCGCGGAGAACGGGAAAGTCCAGGGAGTTACTTGATCGAGAGCCGACTCAGAGGAAAGATGTGACGTAGCCAAAGAGAATAGGGTCAAAAGTGATCTTGGGTTTTTTCTTTCTTTTTACGTGTGCGCTTGAATATGCAATAATCGTACGCGTTGTAAGTTGTAATACGTATGTCGATAGAGGGGTCCATATACATAATCAAATATAAATATATACAGGGTGTTCCCGGGTTAAATGGCCAAACTTGAAATATGAATTTAGGACCTTAAAACAAGAAAAAATTTTCCTCTGGAAGTATGCTCGCAAACATTTTGTTCAAGAGATATTGACTTCTGAAGTTATGAACTATAGGAACGAATAATTTCGAAATAATCTAGGTTTATTCTATTTATTGCTGTACAATAATCAAAATTTAATAATTAAATGTTTTGTTCAAAATGATGGCCTCCAGCTCGGAGAAGCATTGCACCTATCGATGACAGAATAAGTAGCTGATTAACATTGTACATCTGTCATTTCTTTGCACGTTTGCACTATCCTCCGTTTTAGTGATTGAAGGTCATTAATAGGCACTTCATAAACTTGTCAATGACCTTCGATCTTCAAAACAAAAATAAAAAGAAACATTTCGAAATTATTCGTTCCTATAGTTCATAACTTCAGAAGTCAATATCTCTTGAACGAAGCGTTTGCAAGCATACTTTCAGAGGAAAATTTTTTTTTGTTTTAAGGTCCTAAATTCATATTTCAAGTTTGGCCATTTAACCCGGGAACACCCTGTATAATTATATATGTAAAATATGTTCATATGTAATATGTTTTCTTTCTCTTGCGTAATCTCTGTCCGTATGTACAAGGAGAAAAAATAAAAAAGAATAAAAGTAAAAATTGATTACAAGAGAATAATTTTAATATAAATTTATAATTTAT